TGGCAAGCATTAGATTGATCTCTTTGTTGATATCGTCGTATACGGTAACGAGTGCTTCTTTTGGTAAAAGAATATTAGTCGGTTTGTCGGAGTCCACTGAACATATTAGCCGTAAGTTACTTGCGTACCGTCCGCATCTTGTCTTAAGATTGTCACTTTTGACAGAAGGTAATTGATATTAGTATGTCCTTTGATCATATCCATTTCCTAAGTGGATTACTTCAACAAAAACCATTTTAGACATAATCAAAAGGTATAAGGTTCAGCATTTTTACCACTCGTTATGCTAGCTAAATAAACAGTTGGTATTTTGGCGAATCTTGGTGAACCGGAAGTTTTAGTTGATTCAGGTCCTGACTACGTCGACTTCAACGTCGTTTAGCATAGTATTTTCCACGTGCCACGGCCATTTGCAACGGTTCCGTGGAGCTTGCCTGATTCTCATCCCCAGAGACGAAGGTATAATGCTGAAGTTCGTTAACCACATACCAAGGCGGACATTGTCGATACAGACCTTGAACTAACTCGTTTGCTGTTTCCATTCGGTCGATTGTGTCTAATCAAAAGTGGCAATAAAGGACGTGCCCAAGCCACCTCGGCTATCTACCAAATAAACTGAAATGTTCTAGTACTATCGTCGTATCGAGTGCAGACTGGCTTGCTTGAAGCGAACTCTGTGCTATTTCGTTGAATAATCGTTCTCAGGCAATGCTAGTCAGAAACTTGAAATACTAACTTTTCTCCGCGCACAGTCGAGCTTGCGAGACCACAAAAACGGACAGGCCGAGCGGATGCGCAGTGCAAGAGGTTATTTGCAAGGACTGGCGTACGACACGAAGTTCATAAGCGCCTCTGAAAACTTACAAAAACCCCGCGAGCAGCATTATTCGGGTAGATACTTCACTACTACGTCTAGTAAAAATTTCGTCTAGGATAATCGCAGTTGTCCATCAACTTAGGCTTCTAATCACAAATCACGAGGGGTGCTTTTCTGTTGTAGAGGATACTTCTCCTTGGTACCGTTGATAAATAAATAGAGCTATTTAACGACCTCATTCGCCCGAAACAAAATTATGTCCAAGTGACTACTCAGATATTTGACATTGTTGTGGACCGGAATTCACGAAGTAGTGGGACAGTAATACGGACAGAATCGTTTATATTTTCTTCCAACATCATCTATCCACATCACCCACGGCGTTGTTAAGTTCTGCAGCAGTCAATGAAACAGATGGCCTCCCGTGGTTAATAACCACGACAGGATGCACCCGCGCTCAGTTTGTAAGCCGATTTGGTTGTCCTTGACTCGCGCATAACTGTAAATAACCTGAGAATGGCGATAAAAGGTTCGAAAAATACCGAGGAGGCCTATCCTTCCTTAATCCTCGTACATAACAGTATTTCCATTATCAAATACCAGTCCAGGGATGGCCGAACCTTATTCAACTCTTATCATCTCGTTTCACGTTCGTTCAATCATTGTGGACGTAGGACATCAAAGCCGACGAAAGACTTCAATCGTAGTACCAGTTTACATGTGCTCCGATATTTGATCTATGCTTTTTCTGAGATTGATGTTTACACGTAACTTAATGGATTGAGGAAAAATGGAATTTCACTCCTGGATAAAAGGGAAGCAGCGCTCACACCAGCGATCGAGTTTGACATATGCTCAAACAGCGAAGTCGCAATTCACACGACAATAAGAGTCGCCCAGTTCAGGGAATCCGCCACCAACCAGCTAAATGTTGCTGACGCTTGGGCGTTTTCGTTTCCATGCATCAATATTTGTAACTGAGCATTGTAAACGCGACGCAAATGGAATTCGTAGTGGACTGTTCAAAATAAATGACGCAGAACTGTTAGCTTGGAGTGTCTGCCACCGACATGGGTCTTAGACCGATATCCTCCCGGCAAGTTTTTGTACATTTTTCTGGACGCCTGCGTCCGGCGCGAATTAACAGTTGGGCTAGCGTGAAGATTAGAGAATAGACACCCATCGTAAAATTTAGTGAAGCGCAACCTGTATTACCAAGAGCGTTTTCTTGCGA